TTGCCTTTGGTTCACGTGCTTTGTTTTTTAGGGTTTTGTTGTTGTCTTCTTCGACTCAGTCATTCTATATAAATCCCAACTTAGTTCTCTGCAATTCTCACCATTGTTAACCAATATGGAGTCCTCTAAGCTTACAGCCCTTTTTCTCATTTCTATGTTCTTCATTTCCTCAGCCTCTGATGTCATCACTCCTGATTGTGGATACTGTACCAAACCCCACCCTAAGCCCACCCCAAAGCCAAAATTCGGCCTGCCACCAATTGTAAAACCACCATTCAACCTGCCTCCAGTGAGAGTTCCACCAGTTAAGCCACCAGTCACGTCGCCACCCATTGTGAAACCACCAGTCACCCTGCCTCCAGTGACAGTTCCACCAGTTAAGCCACCAGTCACCCTGCCACCAATTTTAAAACCACCAGTCACCCTGCCTCCAGTGACAGTTCCACCAATTAAGCCACCAGTCACCCTGCCACCAATTATAAAACCACCAGTGACTCTGCCAAAACCACCAGTCGCCCTCCCTCCAGTGACACTCCCACCAGTTCCACCAGTTACCCTTCCGCCGGTGACTCTGCCACCCATTAAACCACCGGTTACCCTACCGCCAATTGCGAAGCCACCAGTAACCCTACCCCTAGTGCCACCAATTACCCTTCCACCTATACTCAACCCACCAGAAAAGGGAACCCCTCCTCCACCTCCAACGTGCGGAAAACCGGTCACTTGCCCCATTAACACACTCAAATTTGGTGCCTGTGTAGATCTTCTTGGTGGGCTGGTGCACATTGGTCTTGGGGACCCTGCTGTTAATGAGTGCTGCCCAATTCTTTCTGGGCTTGTGGAACTTGAAGCTGCAGTTTGCTTATGCACAGCTCTTAAACTCAAGCTTCTTAACCTTAAAGTTTATGTCCCAATTGCTCTTCAGCTTCTTGTTACTTGTGGGAAAACACCACCTCCTGGCTACACATGCTCTCTCTAGTTTCATTCAAGTTGAGTACTAATTTTAATTTCTTTTTAATTTCGCACTTGCGTTTTTTTCCTTTTAGGACACTTTGCAAATTTAGTACTGCCTAGTTCAACACATCGAACATTATGCTACTGCTAAGAAGTTATAAACTCCACTACCTTTTCAAAAGAGAATCACGCTAAGTGCTGGAGAGGTTAACATAATGTCTCGTGACATTCTATCATTGAACTGTTTAAAACACAAGTCAACTTTTTCATTCAATCATATCACGCCAACACCCATTATTTCAAGATATGCCAACACCTTTATGACAAAGTAGCATTATTCTTTAAAAGAACTAATTAATGGTAGTTAAGTTTCTAACAAGGAGTTGCTAAACCTATTAGTGGAAAAAATTTATCTTGAATGCGTATCATGCGTGTTAAGGGATAAAATCCCGCATCGAATAAAAATAAAAATATAGACCAATTTATAAGGGTTTTGGCCACTCCTCTTAATAAGATTTAACATTTTATGATGGAACCCAAAGTCTTAACAATGCAACTATTTTTTAACACGCAAAAAGGTAAAATAACTCATAGGGTAATAGATGCTTTTTCTGGATAATGTCTTACCTCTTACGTTTATCAAAAAGTGTCAAATTTATTTATTTCGACTCTTTCCTTTTGATGAAAATGTCGTTTGCTTCATGTATCACACAATGAAATACAACTATTCTCCTTTTGTTTCTATATGGTGCTTTCGTGTCCAATATAGTATAATGAACATATCCTAAAATTTTATGTTTCGGTTTGCAGGTTTGTTCGTAGCTAGTTGGCTCGACGAATTCAAATCGACATGAAAGGATGTCTAGTCTCCGATTTCATTTCCTTGTGTTCAATTCATCCCTCAGTCCTCTTCTTGATTGGAATAGTTATTGTTTGCCTTTGTTAAACCCCAATTTATTCTGTGAAATTGTCAAATTCATGTGTATTTGTAAACAAGGAAGCAATGAGAGTTGTATTAATTATTTCCACTATTGACTTATTCTTGGATTATATATAGGTCAATATACTACTAGGAGTATACATGTATACATAGCATGCATCCATGCAATGCACGAGGGGTGTAGATTTGTTACTTCTAGTATGCCTATCCATATTCCAACTCCAAATATATAAATAATAAGCGAGATTGAGTCTTCCCAAACTATTGCTCTTCAATGTCATTTAACTTTGAACATGAGCAAGTTAATACTCAATTTCATTGTAATTGTACTATGAATCATAACAATAGAAATCTTCCCAAAATTTGTTAAGTCGATTTGGCACTCGTAAACACCGAAATTCTCGAGATCGAACAAAGTCGGGACATAAAATCTAACCCTATAAAGTTAGACGTCTTAATATCTTTAGAAAACTCAAATATCATATTGTATGACTAGCTTGTGTGAAAACTTCAAGATAACATTTCAGTCAAGCCAAACTCCACTTATTTAAAACACGACCACTTTTAGTTAGGAATATGAACTATATAATAGTAAAAATGTAAACTTTTTGCTAGTCATAATATTATCTAATGCTATACATTTCATCTTTAACAAACACGGATTACAATGTTTCCATCTGAATGAATTGTCTAAAAGATCAAACCAATCAAAGATGTGACATGACCACTTAATTGAAAAATTAAGATCATGCGTCGAATGTCGGACGAGAACTTGATATAATGTGTACAAAACATGTCATTTTATTAACGCGTTATATGTCTCCACCACATCGATGGTGCCCTAGGTATGTAAATATGCCCTTTGATTATAATGAACCTTTACTTTAAACTTTTCGACAAGATGTTATCCTAAAAATTTCTTGAACCCAAATTACATACTAACTTGCAATTTCGATGTTGCATCGGAGCACCATGACCAACCAATCAATCACTCTTCAATCCAAAAAGAAAAGAAAGACTAAATCGAGTTGTCCTTTTCAAAGAGAATAAGGAGGCAAAAATAACTCTATATTAATCAATCTATATTATTAAACCAATTGTGTTATTTATCAACTAGTGTCAAATTGGTTGACGAATGAAATTAATCACTATACGGTACGCTTACATAGATTTTTACTCTTTAGAAGTATCATAGCGTCGAAACAATTATATATATAAAGATTTGAGTGAAAATTCTATGCATGTAGTTCTTCAATTTTAATTAAATGAATCTTATATATAAACTTGTGGGATATTGTAGATTGGGATTTTGATTTCATATGCTATTGGGACCATTTGCATGTTAAAGATTTAGGGGCACATGAATGTTGTTTGTCTTTGTCTCATGATAATATGTGGTGTTCCAATGTTGAGGACTATAGAGTTACAGATTTTTTTTTATTATTTTACTTTATTTTGGTTCATTTTGGGATGACCCTTTGCCCATGAGGATCCAATGTACTCTTTCAATATACATCTCTCAGTGAGAATCTCTAGACCCTAAAAAAATTAAAAAGAAACAAGTTGATGAGGGAATTTTGGCCGTAGACACTTTTGGTGGCTATTATTACATTTTTATCGATGAGCTTGGAAGCATTATGAAGCCTCTGTTTGTTGGCCATTTTAAAGAGTTATAACTGCAAATCCTAAATGACGGTTCAGCCCTGTCATTAGCCTCAAATAGTGCAATTTGAGTAGTCGATAAAAGCTTCTTCAACTAGTTTACTAATGGTATGGCTTCTTCACCTAGTTTACCAATTGTATCATTCCATGGTATATTTCCTCGGTAAAGAATCTCAACATGGGATAGAGGAGGTTTGAAACCCTCATCACGAATTTTGTGAGTGATATCCAAAAAGGATAGCAATCTTTGTGGACAATATGCCCTTGTTTGAGTTCCATTAAAATCAAATTTTGAGAAAAAATGTATTTTTGAAGAATGTGTGGATTAAAAAAAAAAGGAATTTTTTTGGGTTCATTTGCAATATTATTTTATTGAAAAATAAGTGATTAAAAAGATGAGAGACATTTTTTTTTAGAATGGATCCCAAACAAGGGCTAGGTCTAATTTTAATTTGCATATTTTAAGCACAAAATTTTTAGTTTGTAATTAGTTAAAGTTTGTTTGATAAGTAAAGATGGAAAAGAATTTCAATTCCATGTTAGTTAGAAAATAAAAATCAACCAAACACGTGCAAATTCGTTTTTCATGAAAATAAAGAAAATACAGTTTAAAGTGGTTGTACCTCAAGATTCGATTTTCATTTTCACGTTATAATCAAACGGCCAAAGTGAAATTCATTTTCCTCAAATGTGACATTATTCATGAAAAAGTTTGCAATCAAACATGGCGTAAGTGTTTTATGCCTTTTCTAGTGTGACCATTTTACAAACATTAAAACCCCACAAGATTTGCCTCTATTTATCTTTGCAACTTGCACCAAAAGGTGAAGGAAGATTGGACCAACGGTAGGATTACTGACTTTAGAGCATGATTATGTTGTAGCCAGATATTTATTTTTATATACTTACTATTGAAAATATATTCATTGTCCTGAAAGTCCTCAAACAGCTTATAAGAAATGAAATGACTATTAGGGAAGAAAATCAAATATCAACTACATGAATCTTTTTTAACCGACAAAATCAGAAAACTCGCACGCATTAAAAAAGGACCAAAACCTTACAAATTGCACAAATGTCTTCCCTACCGAGGTAAATAGTATAAAGGGAGGACAAAATGACTCAACAATTAACTCTTATAAGAAAATTTGGTGTGTTTTCGTCTTCTCAAGAGCTCACATTCTCTATATAAAGTTGAATCCAAACTAATCAAGCTCTAAATCCACATCACCCCAAATCTCGAATTTTAAGGGTGGAGATAGATCTACATTAACCAAAATTATGCTGCACCACGAATATCTAAAACCTACAACTAAATTTGAAGAACTAAGACTGAAACATGAAAGCTTATTCTCTGAATTGTACTATATATGTTACAAAATCCATTTTCAAAGGATTATGAACCTACCTCTAAACTCAGAGTTCGCTGTGGGCTGGAACAACTTCATGAACAGCCTTGCAATGTTGTACTGCAAGAGAGATACCGAACACCGGTATACTTTCTCAATTTGGCAACAGCTTCTTGTGCCTTCCCGAGCTTAAGATCCAGATAAATTGCGGTAAGAATAGCCTGTTTACGGTTAGGTATTACAGATAATGCTTTCACCACAAATTGGTGAGCCCTTTCAATGTCTCCCAGCAATGCATAGTTGGCAGCATAGTTGGCGTAAAGAATTCCCTGAGCCTCTATAGGTGTGGAGAAAAATGGTCCTTGCGAATCATCCATCGATGAGGCACCATTTGACTCTTCACAATCCATCACTTTCTGTACTCTCCACTTTTCGCAATCCTCTTCGCTGTATGGGAGCTGCACAGAGTCATCACCAGACAAGTACATGATCAAATGCTCAGCAGCTTCCTCAGGCTGGTTAAGTAGGCACAAAGCCTCTGCTGCATATATTCTTCCAAGAAACATGTATATTCTTGAGCACTGGGGCAGTTTTAGTAGAGATCTTGCTATCTTTAAGGCCTTCAGCGGATTACCCATAGCCAGCTCTACATATGCCAAATCAGCAAATACAGCTTGCTTTATCATATGGTTCTCTTTTGCACAAATATTTTCATAGTCAGAAGCGACGTTCTGTAACATTGTATTCTGACTGCTTCCACCTTTCTGCTCTTTCATTTCACCATTTGCATCTACCTGACTTGAGTCAGATGCTACATCAGATGTCTTGGGATCACCACTAGCTACATTCTTGCGGTTTGTGCTAGGAGAAAATGGTGTCTCTCTTGATTCACTCTCCTCAAAACTAGGCCAAGAAAATATTTCTTCAGAACAGTTCATTAAATGCAAAGCATTGACAAGACACTGACGGGCAAGAGGCATCGAGAGATCAGGCTGTTTGCCGTCACCAGAAAACAAATCTTCCTTTCGAACAGATTCCTGCTCATCATTGGTCGGGATTCCATTTTTCACTGCAAGTTGCCTCCATTTTCCCTTTCCAATAACATTAACCCTGATATCAGATCTGTCAGATGCAGAGGAAATGGAATGGATTAGTCCCTTTTCTAATGCCATTATACAACACTCAGCTATTCGTAGCCATAGAAGAGGTCTGTTGTTAAAAATTAGACTGGCCCCTTTGAAGCAACGAGCAGCATGGAAAGGTTTCCCACAAGTCAACTGATGGACACCACAATTATATGTTATAAAAAGGGATTTATCCTGTGAAAAACTCATGAGCTTCAGAGGTTTTTCCTTCCGTATGAGTGAGCTGCTATTTAGGGCTTTAAAAAAGAATACACCTGAAGTGTGATGCTTCCCAAGTCGGTAATATATGCAACCGATATTGTTGTAGTACATGCTAGAAATTCCTGTTTCCGTGCGGCTACTAGATGCCATCAAAAGCTTGATTGCTTTGCTATGGTTACCTCGAGCAGATTCAAGCTGTGATTTCAAATAGAGAGCCATGGTATAATCTTTACCACGAGCTATGTTCATAGCCATCTTAACTTCGCGCTTGGCTGCCTTAAGGTTCCTGATGAGCAGAAAAAACCGAACCTTGTAAAAATGCAGCTTAAGCCTTAGATCAATGGCTGATAAGGGCTCCTCAGCTTGCATCCTGAGAAGATCATTGGTAAATGGGAGGCCAGGCCTCTGAAGGTTCTGTCCACCGATATCAAGAGAAGATAATAACTGCAACGATTCTTCTTCAAGTGCTTCGTCTGATACAGTTCTATATAAAGAATTTTCTAAGGTATTTGCAGCAGTAACAGAGTCAGAAGTACAAGAATCAGGAATTGTCGAATTGTTGGGAAGCGAAGTAGATTTTGGTACTAGTGTAGGTTGCTGCTGTGCTTGGTTACCGTTATCCACTTGATTGATCAAGCTATTAACGCCAAAAGCCTTCTCCACGTAGCTTATCACATCCTGGGCATTATAATTTTCAATTTACTAGTGTCTTAGCAGCACAATTGTAATAAGAATAAAAAATGTAGAATAGAAATGCAAACTCAAACTGGATATAACATAAAATCATAACACGCTAACACTTGTATCTTAACAGCAGGAAAAACAACAAACAAGAATTAGAAATGCAACGAATTAGCTGAGGTTAATAACGAGTCCTCTCAATTCACATCCAACTTATCTACAATAAAACTGAAATGTCCATCAGGGATTACAGCTGAAACTCGACAGTTGAAAAATATACAACAGAGCAAATATGAATTCAAACTCTAAAGAGAAACTAACATGGTCAGTCTATAAAACAAACCACATTTTTTTTATATATTTTATCTGCCAAACGTTGAGGCTGTCTTATTGGCAGAACCAAAAATAATAGCTAGCCTAGTTCGCCATGTAAAAGCCTTAGCCTAGAAGCACAAAGTGGCTCAACCTCAGCAACACATTGGCATTACACAAAAGTATTGGTAATGAATAGTCTCCAGTTCAATAGATCTTGTCAAACAAAACTCTGCAAGTAGCAAAACATTCTACTCGTGTAGTTCACTGAAAATACAAGTATGTGCATCATTCCAATGAAAACCACTCTGCTGTCCTCCAGAAAATAAACAAAGCGAAGGAGGGGCTAGGGGAGCAGATTTCCGTGCAACGAGTAGAAGACTGTTGTCAACTGATCCGCCCAAGTCCCCACTAGTAATACGAACATGTTTATGCTAGTGGGGTCAGTTGACAACACTAGGCTTTAATAAACTATTTTTAATTCTTAATATAATTGGGCCACCTAACTGGTTGACCCTACTAAGTGTGTGAAGAAATGCATCTGTCAGCTTGGAATTTTTTTTTGGATGAAAAAAAGTTATAAACACAAAAAATAGTACAGGTCATGGTGGACAAAGTTTTTGGTACTCTGTTTCAAAAGAAAGTGGGGAAGTCATTAAAAATAAAATCAATCGAAAGAGAAACTACCAGTGCCTTTGCAAGTCAGATAAGGTTACTCAGTCCCGTACCATAACCGAGGTTGCTGATCTTGAACAATGAAGCATTTTTCTCCAGTAATAGGATATCAAGTGACAGATATTTGAAAAAGCTCACCTCTTGTACTCTTCAAGTACTATAAACTGAATAAGCAAAATGGTCTCTAAGGTATTATGGAACAACGAAAGGTTCTCACAAATTTCAAACAACCCATAATTGTTAAAAAGTATATAGAGCAGCAGAACAAAGTGCAGTTAAGAACACCACAGGGACTAGTTTAGAGTCAACACACAAAAACTGGAGAAATGGAAAAAAAAAAGCATATAGAGGCACAAAGCACCAAAAAGTAAATGCACACACCCGCATTTTATTAAATGTTCTGCTTGTCAAGTCCTTTCTCATCTAATTATTTAAATTTGGAATGTAGTATTGAACTATAAATTTTTTGGGCTGGGAAAATGAATTATTGCCATGAATATGCAATATCATTTTTTTTCTGACATCACTTCAAGTGATACTTTGCTCAAATTAATGATGAATTAAAGTCATGCTCACAGAAATATAATGGAAACTGTTGCAGTTTCTGAGTTTGCTGAAACCATTACGTAGGTATGGAAGCTTTATCAATTCCATGAAGAGCATGGCATGTTTTGAGCTTCATATAAAAGCTCTAGGAATCCTAGCACCTATTGATCTCTGTGTTTTCAGTCTCTATGTAAAAACCAATACATTGCTCCTTGTCAATAACACAATGCAAAACAAGTGTTCATGAATTTCACTTTGTGACGCACGCATATCAGACAAATACCAAAGGAAAGAAAATATATTAGGCCTTCGCATGCAAAAAATAATAATAATAATCGTTTTATACATACAATTCACGAATACTATTTAGCATTTTACAAGTTCCACCATGAGAAAATCCTACATATTGGAGCAATTAGCTATGCTTCCAGCTATTTGTTTAGCACTTTAGAACAGCTCCGAATCTTTATCTTTCTCGAATGATTAGAGAATCTCACTAGATATACAAATTTCAATGAATGCTTTAAGGCTACTACATCCAACCCATTGCATTTCGACTTTGGATTGTTGACTTGTGCTATTACATACATTCTGTTCAAGTTTATAGATAAAAATATTTTAAGAATATTTTAATGATATAGCCCCTCTTTGGTACAAATTCTTCAAAATTCATTTTTTTCCAAACTCATTTTTAACTAAACATTCTCCCAATAAAATAATTTTTCAAGTGGACTTTTCCGAACTTTTTAACCACAAATTCTCCAAAAATATCACTTTCCACAAAATCTTCATTAAACAGGCCCATAATAAATACTATCATTTGAAAGTTTTAGAGCAAGTCTTGGAAGTGCTTATAAACGGTTTAAATTATAAATAGATAGAAATAAATCATGTATAAGTGGGTATTTCTTGTGGGTCACTTGAAATTCATGGATAGAAAGTAGCTTGAATATTTTTAAATGGTTTAAAAACATGAGCCAATCATAGGCTTATAATATCAAAAAAATAAAAAGACTGAGAATAAACGAATTCTTGGTTTTGAAGTACTGTAACAGTTGACAATGTTGCAAAAAAATGTAAGACGTCATAAAATACCTTGAAAAGTGTTAAATCTGTCAATAAGGCTAAGCTTGACATATTACTGTGTCACATACCGCACAATGTTTAGATTGCAAGACACTAATGGTTAACCTTTTCCTCAATGATGTAAGAGTAAGATGAAACTTTTGATTATTAGAATATTTGTCTAATAAAAGTCAAAATAAGGACAGAAGTTCTACAAATTTCATATACATATTTTTAAACATTTATCACATCCATTTTTTTTCCCTGGCAGTAGCAATATATAATATACCTCTAATTCATTTGTATATAACAAATGGTTATTCATATTCTTCTGGTATAAAAAATTTCACCAACGAAAATCAAAATTGGAATTGATATTGATTTTATTGAAAAATAAAAAGTATAAATATAAACATATAATATTCAAATGTAAAATTTTAAAGAAATTAAATTATCGTGTGCGCGCCCTACTTTTTCTAATAATCATGTGAGACCTTGGTCCATGTCCATATCTGTGCTTCTTAGGATATAGAATTTTCTAACCACCCCAACTTCCTGGGAATTTTAGTTCAAAGACACAAATTTGGTTGCCTCAAGCCTAGAAATTCTAATGGAGAGATGCACATGGATATAGAAAATTAGAAACCACAATTTCAATAAAAACCATTGTAACCAATTCTTGGTCGTGCAATCAAAATTATAAAGCCATTAACATAAGAATTTTTACTAGTTGTTATAGCATCAAACAACTTGCTTCCAAAGCTTCTACAAGTTTCTAACTTCATTTTAGAAAATTATTTAGCCCATGTTTGTCTACCATTAAAACAAAACTATTTTTTTCTTAAACTCATTTTCAACTAGGTTCTCACAATAAAATATTCAACATGCGAACACTTAACATTTTCTTACTTTTTAACCCCTCGTTCTCCCAAAAAAACCACTATTCCAAAACTCATTTCCCAAAAAAATAAATAAATAAATAAAATAGAAAAACTCATTTTAATGGTTGTCAAAAAGGGTATTAGTTGTTTTTTTCTAAAAAATCATCAAGTTAAACTTTGAACCTATGCTAGGTAAAATAATTCCAGTATCCAAGGTTCATTACTCCACAATCATTAAATATACTCGTAGTCCTGAAACTCAAATTTTTGCTACCAAGAAAAGAGGAGGGATGTACAGGTCAACTAAAATTTTTAAGCATCCAAAAGCTTAAAATAACAATTTAGGAAGAACTTGAAAACAAGAAAAATCCAAAAATAAAAATAAAAAAAGGTGCAAGGAAAATACAAATATTTCATAAAAAGATAAGAGCAATTTCAACAAAAAATAAAAAAATCAATCATAATTTTTTTTTTTTGATAACCGTGGATGTCCGGGCCAGCTTGTTCGCACCTCGACTAATCTCACGGGGCCCTGAAATTTACGGTCAGATACTCACCTCAGTGGCCCGGAGTGGACTAGAACCGGTGACCATTGGAAAAAATCAATCATAATTTTAACTGAAACACAAGACAAAGTACAATTTTCTATGGTGAAAATCTCACCTACGAGTACTGAAGATTTACTAAGTTTTATTAGAGCAATAATCCTTGAATCTCCATATATGTTGATTTAGAGAGAGGGAGTATATTTAATTCAAAAGAAGAAAATGTCTATAGATCAAAAGATTCTATGATAAGAGGTAACAACAGCACAACTGCAAATCAACAAGCTCGTTGACTCAAGTTTTTCTCTCTCACAACTTTAAAAACTAAACAAAATTACACTTAAAATGACCTATTCCTTCTCCCAAATTTCTCTCATCTTCTCTCTTATTATATTCTCCTCTCTCTCTCTCTCTCCTGCTTTCTGGAATTGTCTTGCTTAGCTCTCCAGAAAATGCTGACTACCTCACCATCCTAGTGAAAGACCTCCGAGCCAATTCAGACACTTTAGCTACCATGGGTGAAAGGCTGCATGAACTTTTCAGAGATCCTTGCAAGTGTCGCAAGAAATACAAAACTGACAAGTCTACCTTAAGACAACACGTTAGGCATTCACCAAATCTTAGAGATCTTACCTGAGTTGGTCTATTACTCACAAAACCATAACTCATCAAGTCATCTACACGTGCCGCATTCAGGCAGACGGCTCTCTGACGATGATGCCTTACAGCACCAATGCCCATGCCTCAAGAAAAATAGGCCAGAGTTTGCCAATGAAAAACCTAGGAATGAAATCAGAAACTCCATGGTCGATACCAAGATAGAGCACATCGACCCTAAACATACTAACACTAGCCACAATAACAAGGACGTTGGCGATGTCACCCTGAAAATCAAACTAGAAGCACCATAATTTGATAGTCAACTTGATCCCAAGGGGTTTCTTGATTAACTTGATGTACTTGAAGAATAATTTGAGTTCTCTGGCATGAACAACACCAAGAGTGAACATTTTCCTAGAATAAAGCTCAGCGGGTCTGTCCAATGTTATTGACAATAATGTCACATCAAGCATTTAGACAGGACTCTATCCCTTGTGGGACAAAATAAATCAATGTTAAAGAAAAGGAGTCACCACCAATTGTAGGAATCATTTATTAGAACTTAGATCAATTCTTCAACAATAGACGGGTTTCTTTATTTTCCATGATACAAGCATCAACACCCCCTCGAGGTACATCCTTTATTAAAAGAATTTACGAACATCAAATTCATAAAGTTACATGGTATGTCGCCAACCGTGAGAGATATTGAGTATGCCATTAATCCGGAATAACAGGTGCCTAACCTTCCCCATCATAGGGCGACACCGATGGGGAGAGCTAAGTCGAAAGCTTCATAGTAGTCTTACCTCTTGTCTTGTGCGTATTTTACTCACTCCTAAATAGTATGAACTTAGAAGAACGTGCATAGATAGTCAAGCCATCAACAAAATCAATGTTCTTAGATTTTATTTGATTTTTAGATTGAATTTTTTAATGTGGTTAGATAGACTGGTTCTGATGATTTTGTGTAATTAGATTGAAGTACCATTTGAGTTAAATTCTTTACAACAATAAAAAGGGATCTGGGATTCAGTTACACAGTAGGCTTGTAACAAGAACTAGAATTATAGAAGAAGAAAGAAGAGATAAGGGAGAAAGGGGAGAAGAATCGCATTAAAGAGGGTAAGGGAGGGAGAATAGAATTTATTCAATTCATCAAAAGTCTGTCTAATACAAAAGCATAACCCTCTTTATGTAGGGTATAATTTAACCTAACCTAAGTAGGAAACATAATAAGAAAACAAAACCTAATTTGACTCGTTAAAAACTTGCAGTTAAGAAATAAATTTCTGAACTTGGCGAGTCTTCCATAAAATAGCTTTAGAATCTCCATCATTTAGTTTGTACAAACTTTAAGAATTAATCATATAAATTGATTTTGTCTCATGAATTTCTCTCATTTTCTTCCTCTTCTTCTATTCGTCTCCTCTCTCCTCTCTTTCTCATTCATACTTTCTCATTTCCCTTTTGTGTCAGATTCCCACAAGAGATAATAATTAATGGTCATTTTAAAATTGATGTCGAACAATTGAATAGAACAGGCTAGACACAGCCTACCCTCGTGATTTGTACTCCAGAAATTTAAAATTTAAAAGGAATAATAATCTTGGCATATCATGATTTCCAAAAAGCAAGCAAATTTAGTATGTAGGAGTCTGAACTTACTGCAGATCTTGATGCATGGCCAGAAAGCAATGCAACATCTAGCAACAGAACGCAAATACGAAGAGATGTCCCCTGCATGTCACCATATGAAGATTACCAGCAAAGACAACTTCATGAATCATAACAACTACTCTTGAAATTAATTACCTTATCAATAGGTTCAATGTTCTGATACAAAGCATCCAAATATGAAAATGATTTTGCATGGTCATGAAGGTGGAACCAGGTAGCTGCCTGCAATCAGATTCAGGCATGCATGAATAAAATAAATACAACTAAATCTAACTAAATTACTACACCAACATCAAGTGACATACTATGTTAAACATTGCCACTGAAGTGTCAAACTCATCATTGTATACAATTGGTGAACTAGAAAATCCTTGTGCCATACAATTACTTCCTTTTGTTCCAACCGTGTTTTTGCTTCCAATGTTGCTAACAGCCTCCGTCTGCTCTCCAGATGCAACAGCAAGCTCCTCGCTTCGTTTCTAAAATGAGGAAAAGAAATCAATGAAGCATAAACATGAAGAAAGATGCAATGCAAAAATAGCATGCTCATTAACTATTAGTAACATCAAATCAGGACCAATAAGTAGGCATAGGTTTCATACACCCCTCTCTCTCTCTCTCTCTCTCTCTCTCTCTCTCTGCATAGGTTTCATACACCTCTCTCTCTCTCTCATCCTACAGACACAGGCCAACTTTTGCTGAAGTGGACAGTCATGGTAGTTGGTTCAATCTGCAGACATCTATAGAAAATTACACAGGTTATCTATATGGGGGTGCATACATTTATAAATGTTGCATAATACGAAAATCATGAGAAGAAATAGGAGATACATGACTCAAAAAAAAAAAAGAATGGGATATTGGACACCTAGTAAAAGATAAAACATTTGTGTATTTATATGGTAAGTGTGAAGAAACTACACACATCTAAAGTGCAACTTTCCATCAAGTTATTTTGTAACTTTATTTTGTATATTGAACACAACTTATAACAAATGACCAGTAGGTTATTAACTACTTTTAGAGAGCAAGATTTTTCCTCATCTTATGTTAGACATCTACTAATTAACAGTGACAATTATAAATACATGGAAGGTAGCACCATATCTAGCCAAAGCTTTTCATGAATTAAAATGCTAAAAAATTCCTTATATATACACACACTAAAGAGGTAACAGATGAAAAGGTATGCAGCAAAGAAAAGAAGCAAATATAATGAGGAACAGAAGGAATCTTTCAGAGAAGCCAGGCATCATGAAGTCTAGGAAGGGGTATTTGCACATTGAAAGATCCCCATTCTTATACAGAACCCACATAAGCATCCAGAATCAAGTCCCATTTCCTCATCTAGTAACATGGTGTCATATTCAGTTGAACAAGAGGGCCTCTATTAACTGGACTTCTCCTAGCACCACACTACAAAGAAGTAATGTCCCCCGTACAAATAATAATAACAATAATAATATCCCTTAAGCACTAGTACAACAAACTGTAATGTCCAAGGTTTCACGTACAATGTTATAGCATATCATCTTTGTCCTGGTTGTTTCAAACTCTTAGGGGCATAGTCACCTACAACATCCAGTCCTATGAGATTTCCCAAAGGGAGACATGAATTTAATAACTTGCTATCACCCAAAATAAATACAAAATCCCGAACAAGGCTTTCTTGTTCTATCTGCAAAGATATTCAATTGAATTTTAAGGATAGTCTAAAATTGAAGAACTATGACACAGCATGTGTCAAGGGCAATACGCATAAACCAGGTGCTCTACGATGGCCAAAAGTAAACCAATCCCCTTGAACTACTACAGAAAACACTTGATTTTCAAGATAGCATAATCTCATTCAAAATTTTCACTCAAATGAGTGTGCCTCAAATGAGTGTGCCTAGCAACATTATTTTTCACATAGGTATGTACCTTCTTCCCTTTTTCCTATTTGCAAACAGAAGTGTCAAAAGAAAGAATGTAGAAACTCAACATTCTGCACCTCCTCAGAGCATACTGATTCTTGCTACAGCAATTGAAAGAAAAATTTGCAGTAGCTTTTGCCGAGTACATATAGTTGAAGGCAAATATGGCAATATCCACATGCAGATAGGTACACGTGTTGAAAAAGCAAAAGGCAAGAAATGTAAATATGATATAACAACAAACCTTAACATCTTCGAGAGCTTCAACAAGCCTTTTAGGATCTGAAAAACCATTTTGAAAGTTCTCCACAATTGCTATGTTATGAAGAACCTAAAATGAAAACATAATAACTACTTAGCATTAGAAGAAATATCAGAAACTGCAAACGAGAAGCACAAAATGAGATGAATAATGGAAATTATACAAAACAAAGAATTGGGTTCACAGTAACATCAGATAAAAAATTAAGAGATTTAAACATCGATGGACTTTAATGCATGCCATATGTTAGAACAAGATATGAGCACTGGGACTACAGCTTTCGTTTCACTTTTTTTCAGAATAAAAAACAACAGCAATTAAAACTGATGAATTAACCCACCAAGTGGAGGAATATGTTTCTCCTCGATTGTACTTTACAGCTTTCGTTTCAATTTTTGCAGAACAAAAAACAACAGCAATTAAAACTGATGAATTACCCCACCAAGTGGAGGAATATGTTTCTCCTAGATTGTACCTTACAGCAACAAAATTGATAAATATATAAGTATTACCAACTCTGACATAGCTTTTGAAGAAAATCAGAAAAATGTGAAAGTGGGAAAGCGAAAGAAATCAACAATTAAAAGAAATAATTAGAGCAAAAAATGTTTTAGTATGTCAGATATTGACAATATAAAGTATGCCAATGCAACCAGACTTCTTAGCACTATATTAAAAAATATTTTTCTACATTAAGTGTATTCATTTATTAACAGAAATTAAAGTTGATTAAAATTACTTTTAAAAAACACAATGGCGTAAATTTTTTTTTTTTATTTTTATGGAGAAGTATATCTCATGTAATTGGTACTCTCATAACCTATGATGCAAGCACATCTAGCAGGTGCTGCTTGTGTCTGTGCTTGTGTATGTCCGTCACCGACACTCCATGACATATACTATATGCAACTTTCCTTTACTGACAGTGTAATATCTAGTTTAACTTAAAGTTATTTTACTATAATTTAAAAGATTTCATAAATAAAAATCAAGAGTCAGAAAAAAATCAATTTCATTAAAAGACAAAATGTATAAACATTGAAATAGAATATATAAATCTACAATTTTATAAAATTTAAATTAATGTGTATCTGACATGTTTGTGTCTTATGTTTTTTAAAATTAGTGTGTTGAGGTGCCCGCATCTTGTCGTGTTCAACGCGCGAGCATGTCTCGGTACAACATAGCTCGAAACAAAGCAATATATAACAATAATTCACTGAAAAGATGATGTGTGCTTGAATAAAAATCCAAATATGTAGCCCTGATCTCGAACGAAACCCACCAGAAACAATACTATATTTAGCCCTTGTTTGGGCTCCATTTTAATGTAATTTTGGGAGAATGTGTATTTTGGAATGGTGATTTGTTGGAGAATGTGTGGTTAAAAGATAAGAAAAATTTTTAGGTTTACATGTAATATTATTATTTTTTGGAAGAATGTGCGGCTGAAAGTGAACTGTAAAAATGTATTTTGGAAATAATAGAGCCCAAACAGGGGCTTAGTGCAGAACGATACAATAAAATGTGCTCCACAAGGATGATTTTAAAACTCAAAGAAAGAAAGATGAATGCAAATATACGGAGAAAAAATTATCATATTAAGATGTAATGATATTTACTACAAAAACCAGACATTGATGAAATTTTCAAAGGATATATTTTTACGAAAATCAGAAGAGCTGCTATGATTTTCAGTACTTAAGTGTTGTCAAATGACAAAATATCTAGGAGATGAACAGTGGAAACAAACATCTTAAGATGGATGTGTGGCCACACTAAAAATGAAAAGAAATGAGAACATACTTCAAATCTTCAATAGGCAGATACAAAAGGATAAAGTAAGGGAAAGAAGATTAAACAATTGGGAAATGTCATGCATAGACCCAAACAAGGCCTGGCAAATCATATGTAACTGATGTGGTACAAAAGTAACACTGTCCACTCTGATAGTACATGTTTATGAGACAAAATCTGAGAACGATTTATGTCGAGCAAATCGGATAATTTCCTATAATAAATGCTCAAGATCTTCTGGCTCATAGCAGATGAAGTAAAACGGTACACGTAAAAGACAGCAGAGACTCTGACAGTAGAATTTCATATAGTTACTGGCCACATCAATCTATGGTAGACTCAATCTCATTCTCAGCACAACCAAATCTCAAACCCACAATGTAAATGAGTGGGTCCGCCTCTGACATGCATTTGATCAGCCACTCCAACCAGCATGAACTCAAATAACCCACATATTTGTCACCCCCTATTTAGCATAAGCTAACAAATCAATGGCTTGTACAATGAGACATCTCATGATATATCATGAATCTTCAAACAATGAACCAAGACAATAATCCAATCAGGAAATATAGCCCACATATAATCTGCTAGCCTAAATGCACTGGTGAAATTAGTTTGCAAGTGACTCGTGCTGTCAGAAATTGGACATCATGCTTTAGTCACATCCAACTCCAATAATTAGCTCTTTCTACTTTACTTTGCAAAGATGAAATAAACAAGAGGTTGTATTATGTCAGTTGCCTCCAGTTCTATTGACACACTTAAAATGACTGCCAACGCAGACCTTATTTTGCACAGCCTAGAGAACTTGAGAACTACATGAGGTGAAACTTGAAAATATAAATTGACATATGTCCTACTTCTTTCACTGACCCAAACAAAACTTTTTATTTTTTATTAATCTTGTACAAGAAATTCCTTAATAAATTACAAGATCGCTGTTCTCAACTGAAGAAGGACATGTCAGGTGCACACTGTGACCAAATAAATTCCCATAGTGAAAGCATTCAGATCTCTGACCCCTGAGTAGGATGTAACAATTATTCTCGACATCAACTAACACCTAATCTCATTAGAGGACCAGCCTTCCATAATTTCAAATTTATTCCTCGGATGATAAATTTCTCGTATGTACTAGAAACTCGTACAAATTGAAGGAAGTAAATGTAAGTTAGATTTCTAGCATTTAACTTACAAGTTTTCCACGTACCCAAAGATGAAGAAGGAGAACAGGGAGTGAAGCAGAACAAAACACATATAAAAGAGTTTTCATCAACTCAACCCAGTCAAGTTGAGGATCGAGCTGATCGAGTAGGGGCTTGAGTTTGAGGAACAAGTTGGTCGTATTGACGGTTGAGTTGGTTGAGTAGGAGGTCGAGTTTAAGGTGGAGTTGATCAATTAGGGAACGCTTTGCCTGGGTGGCTAAAGAAATAAATGGACATTTTGTAAATTATTGAGTATCATTTTTTTTTCTTGGCCTTCATAAAAAAGGTCTTTGAATAAAATTCCCATTTCATTATGCACTAAAATTCCACCAAATTTTGAATAATTTTTAGAACTATCAATATAAGCATGTTGCCACACATCTCAAAACACCAGGCCTAAACTAGATTTCGACCACTACCTCACAATCCCAGACAAAGAAACCAGGCGCAATGATAGTTCGATATATATAATCAGCTAGTCTACCAAGTACCCAAAAAGTCATAAAAATGCAAACTATCAGGCATTAAACATAACGTGCTGCACCTCAAATATAACTCAAGACTCTATAATGAAGTACAATAGAATTAATCCTGTAGCAACTTTAAAAATATGATTTCTTCAATTAGAACAGAAATGCTATTTGTTTATGTCTCAGCCATTAAGCCCATTTCAGTTAAACCCCGCACGTGTAATTTCCCAACATGCAATAGCAAAAAATCAGCTCGAATCCCGACATGAACAGAAACAAATATTAAACCCGGAGTTAAATACAATTCATCAATAAACAATTCAAACGAGATAATTCGTAATCCAGAATTTCAGAAACTAAACCACCTTTGGATCGTTCTCTTTTAATCGCAAGAGCTCATTCAAGACTTTCAGACAGTCCGCGAACTTCCCCGCTTGGAAGCGCAGGGTAGCCTCCTTAGCGAACCCAGCAGTAACCGAGAGAGCAAAATCCGAAACAGTCCCCACCGCAGCCTCTGCATCTCTACTCGCAATTGGCAATGACGAAGATGTTGTTGAATCCATTCGCGCACAGATCGAATTAATTATCCCCTAAAAATGCAACAAAATGCACTGTAGTTGAAGAAAAATCTTAGCTTCCCTCACTTAAACAACCCACTCCTTAACAAAAGATTCACATTCGAATCTGAATTCGAATAAAACCCTAGATATGCAAAATCAACCTGAGAATAAGCAAAATAGAATTGATATATACTCAAATGCTTGTGGGTAAACTGCTATGAGTCGAATTAGAGAGAGAGAGAGAGAGTTTTCACAAATGAGGGAGAAACAGCGTATATAGAAAGAGAAATGGAACAGAGAGAGAGGGGGGAGATTTTATATAGGGCTTGACTTCACAGTGCGAAACAGGTTAGCGATATTGTTACTTGTGAGTGTGTGGAATTCATTTTTTGGAGAGAAAAAAAAAGTCTTATTTTTGAGCTATTTTTAACAAAATTAAATAATTATTACTTATAATTTATATGACATATAAGTTGGAGATGGACTTTTATTGAAAAAGTTTTGATCATTTACAATGTGGATCGCCACGTTGTATTTGAAAAGATAACACAAATTGATGTTAGTCTCTTGAATGTGAGAGTTGAAAATGAAACTGTACGTTATCTGGAAATTTAGAGTTCAAAATGAAAAATAGAAGTAAATTTTCTGAGTTGTTTGTGTTGTATAAATTGCTAGTGGCAATATCCTTACAATATATAAAAGAGGAGACTTACTTGCACTATTTCTAAGCCATTTGGCCACCCTAGCCGAGCCGTTTTCGAGTCGAGTCATACAAGCCGAGCCAGCCAATGTTTTTCCCATGCCATTTTTCCCTCCGTACGTCCCCCTTTTTTTTTCTTTTTATTTCTCTCACATTTCTCTCTCCATTTTTACACTCAACCTCCCATACTCCTCCATTCCTCACCCATCTGATTTCTCGCTCGAGATTTCTCTCTCTCTCTCTCTCTCTCTCACTTTTCCTTTTCATTTTCTCCTATAGAGAAGTCTTCCCCTTCTACGTCTAGAAACAGGCCCTCATCTTCCTCCTCCACCTCCACCGGTACCGGGAAGCACATGGACCACCGCGATGCTCGAGTGCCGTCAAATCTTAATACTAGCAAGAACAAGTGCTCCGATGGTACGCTAGTTTTTATTTTTTTTATTGGGATTTCTCGTGCTCCTGATTATTGCGGTGGACACCTAGAACGTTTTCTTATTTATATTCTCGATTTTGGTTGTGTTCTTGTTGTTTTTAGTTGTGCATGTTTACATAAGTGCATTGTGGCATCTGGCTAGAGTGGTGTCTGTTCTTGAGCCTATTTATGGATTTTCAGAGATGAAGAAGAGCTACGAGTTGTTGAAGGGGAAAATTGGCATAGGATTTGTACTGGTTTTTGGGTACTTGGCTATTTGTGTAGTGATTAATGGGCTATTTGGTTCAATTGTGGTGCATGGTGGAGAGGATTACAGGGTGTTGACAAGGATTGTGGTCAGTGGGTTCCTCGTTGGGATTTTGGTGATTGTGAATCTTATAGGGATATTGGTGCAAAGTGTGTTTTACTATGTCTGCAAGAATTATCATCATCAATGGATTGATAAGAGTGCACTGTGTGATCATCTCGGTGGATATCTCATTCTCAGGGAATATGTGCCTCTCAAGAGCAGCATTCAGATGGAAAACATGGATGTTTAACACAATGTTTATGTGCTAGAGAGGGTAAATTTCTGTGATTTCTTTAGCTTTTATGTTACCAAAAAAACAATGTGTAGATAAGAAATTATTTGAAATGGATGAGTGTTTTGGGACATTGACTGTCACAATAAGAATTGAGGTGGTTCTTGTCTTAATTTTCTTGCAATTTGCTTGATTATATTGATTAACTATGATGACAAATGCTCTTGTGACAGGATTCATTAAGACTTTGAACAGATAGTGATGGTTGTATTATTGTTATTTGGGTAGTGATGTTTATTTATATGCTAAATTTGTTATAGTTTTTCTCTCTGTCTCATGCTTTTGGCTTGGATAATTTGGAAGTTTTGTTTTTCATTTGTCCCATTAATGCTTATTTCTTGTATCAATATTTAGTCTATTCATCTTAATTAGTTACTCATGACTGTGTAGTTTGTTCACCGTGGTTGTAAACCAACACAGTTGTTATAACCAACTTGGTTCAGACAAAAAATGGAAGGGAAAACGCCAAGGAAAAACAGGCGCAATTGACTCTATATTTGTTGTGCTAAGTTGTTTGGAAAAAATGAATAGATCTGAAATGGATAGGTTAGTTTCGTGGTTTGACCATTTATGTTTATTTTGTTAAAATAATGTCGGGCATACGTGTCATTTTCAAAGTTTTAGGTTTAACACTTACTGAGCTATTATCATTCACTGTAATAACATGTTTGTGTCAAAATATTGGCAGGTGAATGGACAAACTTCTTCTTCATCAGGCATTCTTATTGAATGGACAAAAGGTTTCGTCATCAAAAACATGGTTTGTTATAACATGTTTATTTTACTTCTGTGCTTAATGAATCACTCTCAATGGTGTCCAGAAGAAAGTGTATATTCCCCTTTTCTTTTATTCTTTTCCCTTATGTGAGACACAATACGTTCACGTGCATGTTCTAAGATGTGTTATGTCAAGCAGTTTTTAATTAATGAATGTACCAGAAGTGTACTTTGTTCTTGCATTTCCTTTTCTGGCTATACAAGAAGGGGTGTTAGGTTTTAACTTATTATTTTTGCTTCATTTATGACAAATGCCTCTACACTAGCATAAAAAGCTCTGCAGGTATCTCTTCTTACTAATTTTGATTTCCGTGCTTTAATGGAGGGAAGGCAGACATAATGACTGGGGTTTAATCTTTCTATCCGGCTGCAAATTATGGCCTATCAAGTTCAATGAAATAAGCTCTGGCTAAAATATTTCTGGTGTCTGCTGAGGTTTGTACTTTTCTTTTTGAGACTTGAACGGTTATCATTTTTTATAAGATTTTAAATGAAAAGAAAATATACTATTCGATGATTTCAGTGGAAAGCTTTATTATTCCCATTATCTGAAATTTCGATTGCTATGGTCCAGTAAAATACAAACACTTTCCATGTTTTCTTTTTTTCCCATAATATTTTGGCTAGATACTATATATTTCTTTCTATTTTTGTTTCTTGTGTTTAATTATCTTTATACCAGTTCAATTTTTGTTCTTATAGTACTTATTGGTACTGTGATTTCTCTGTTTTGGCTCAAAAAACTAAGAAGAGGCTGCTTCTTGCAGGGCGATTACGTGGCACTTATTTCTTCCTTTGCTGAAATGGGACTACGTCTGCGCTTTGACATGTCGGAGCAAGCGATGGAGATCGCTTCTGTATTCTTTCGTTCTTCAACACCAGCAAGTGAAGCTCTTGTAAAATTTAGTGTTAAAAATGGTAACCATGTAATCCTAAATAATTTTCATTGAATCAGATACTTGGAGAATTGGTTTCCATCAATTTTTGCTTTCTTTATTGTGCTTCACTGCTATGGAAAACAGAGGTCTAAAGAGGAACACCCATATCTTTCAGTCACATTTTTTTCTAGGCTTTTTTCGAAATGATGTTGAACTATGGATGAAGTTACTGACAAGCGCTTGGATGGGAATAATGCTCAAAGTATTTGACAAGGAGAATTCTAAGCTGGATCTTATCGCTAGGACATAAACCACAAATTGTAAGTACAAGACATTTCCATGGGAATTGACTAAATTTTCAAATATTAGATCCACTTTGAGTTTTCCCGAAAGTCTACAAGATTAAATTCTTTCCATTTTTTTTGAAGCATACAATTATAGGTAAAACAACAGCCCTTTGTTGGACAAGAATTTCAATTATATGTGCTTTCTTGGAGGAAGTAGTGGTTACTACTTTGGAGTGAATACAACTTAACAACTCTTCTCATTGGCTGGAAGCTTTATGGAAAGGTGATTGTCAATTTAACTGCACCTTTCCTGAGGTAAGAGTTTGTAATGGCTATCAAGTCATTTGTTGACAAGCAAATCCTATAATTATTTGATGATGTTTGCATGTTGGTGTGTATATAGGCCGTTAGCAATGTTAACACCATCATTGGCCCTGCTCTCATTGGAAAGATAAAATGTCTTTACATCAGTAATAATAAAGTTAATGATTGGAAATAGAATAACGTAATAGAGCGCAAAAGTTTCTTTCCTCTGCATCATTCAAACTCTCTGCACTTCATTTTCTCAATTTGAATTTAGTGTTTGAGAAAATGTTAATTATAAAGTTAGAACGAAGTAAAAAAAGGATACCTATGTTATAACCATGTTTGGTGATGATCCTCGGTAAATACGCAAGGCCCGATAATTGTACACGGGACCCCCACTTTCACATAGAACATTGTCCCCTACCAAATGAATAACTCATGATAAGAACACAAATTATACAACATTATTTGAATATCTTTAGCAAATGCATAACCCATGTTCTGACTGGCAGAAGAGTTGCTAGAAAGTTGTAATTTTTGCAAATGGAAGATCGTTAGCATATTTTAGCTGCAAAATAAATATGCCCTGCTTGAATTAAATAATCTGACTTTCAGTTTCTTATTATGCTTTAGGATGCCGAGGAGAATAGATTCAACTATGCAAAAAGCATAATAAATATGCCCTGCTCGAATTAAATTACAATTATTTTGCATGCTAAGAGATAGCATAAACCTTCAACCTGAATGTGATAACGAAATCCAATTAATTTTTTTTTTTTTTTTTGGTATGAGGATTACATGTTAAGCAATCTATTTCAGTAATTACAGCAAAGAATATGTGTACTTGATTTCAATGACCAGTCACATATATGTGCAATTTCTATTCTAAACATAATTTCTTCGGATTATAATTTCTATTTTGATGGGTTCTCTTCTTTCTTGAGATTTTATGAGCTATGGATGATTGACCTTTAACAGGGCTGAACTGAGGAAAAAAAATCAAACGGCCAGTGCTTTCCAGAGAAGGTATGAATATTTGCCACTAAATGTATATACCTTTTGCTGACTACAAATTTATGTTAAAGAATCTTGTATTTTGTACTCATTTTCTCTTTAGGTAGTTAATTCAATTGTTTAATATGTGCCTTGTGCAGAAACACTTGAAGTGGTTCACCCAGCTATTGTTGGCAGTTGAATACCTGCATTCCAATTTCGTTCTCCATCGGGACCTAAAAGTATGGTTCTTTGTTGATTAAATGGTTTATCTATAGTTTCTCTGTTATGTTAAATGATTTACTGGGTTGATTTCCATTACATTTTCTCGATAATGCTCCAACATCTTTCTTACCAAAGATCAAGATGTTCGAGATCTGTGTAGAAATGCCAAATTTGAATAAATGATCCCTTCTATGAGATCTTCGTAAAACTATTGAATCATATGAGATCGATAACCGCTTTTCTTGTATGGTTCTTAGAGCTGGGAAGGTTGTGATATGATTCATTGGGTAAAAGTTAAAAGAACAAAATGTTGTGAATCTCCATTTTCCTATAAATAATTATATGACTAAATCTGTTGAAGACTTATAAAATAAGAAACTGCTATTCATCTATATGAAAAATATAAATATCAAATCATTGTGACCTTTGATGTCTTGAAAATAATATGCTATTTTATTTGTTTGGATTTTACAATTTCTTCAATTAGCGCTGCATAAGAGAATTACGAGACACAATTGCCCATAGAGAAGATCCAGCAAAGCTGCACGAGTCTCAAGTTCAACAAGAAAACCCAAGTCACGATCAAGGTACCCAACACCATTTAAGCATGATGAATGGAAAAAAAGGGTAAATGATGTTGTTTGTACAATAGTCTTAAGCATCAACAGTCTCTAACATGAGAAAGAAGAATGCCTTGCTTTTCTGCTGTAGATTGAACTAATTTATTGAATGATAACAGGTCGTCTTCAGGGGAGCTCATACACAACCCGATACAATTAAACTTGATGAGGGGGAGTGTCATCCATGTCTAAGGATTAGCACCAATGTAAGCTTCTTTCTCTATGAACGTGGTTTTATGCCTCTTCTACTCAATTAAACTTAATGTTCACACATGATGATAATGGCTGAAGATGGATATGCAATCAAGTTTGTTCAATGATTGTATTTATTAATTTCAAATTAGAGATTGTATTTATTAATCTTTCTACTTCCTTTTTTTCTATACTTTTTTGTCTTACCAAAAAAAAAAAGGAAAGGAATGAAAGAAGAATTATTTATTCCCCTGCGAAAATGTGGGAATCTTTTGTTGATCATTTGTTTACTCTCTTTATTAGTGCTGGGAGATGTGTAGTAAAATGTATGCAATTTTAATGAAATCTACTTTCCAACTTCTTGTTTAAGCTCTCCCTATCTTTGTGTGAATTTTATTTCAAGATTTTGTTTAATGAATTCAAAGTAGTCTGCAACCATTTTGAACTATGCTTCCTCATCCTTCGTTTCTTTTTAACTTCTTATACACCATTTATATTTGCAACATAATTCAAATTGTTAGTTTTTCTATCACTTTTTGTTTTCTTTTTCAGTATAGTTGCACTTAGGAAATATGTGATTTCTTTAGTATACTTGAAGTCGGATGTTCTATTCATTAGATTTTAACACACCTGGAAGTGAGATTTATCTCTTTGTACATCGAACATTTATTAAATTTTAA